GCCGGCCCGGGGCCTCCCCGCGCCGGGCGAGGCTCATGGGTCTGGGCCTCCGGGCCCGGTCTGTGTGGAAGGCAACGGCCGTGCTCCCTCAGAGCCCCCTCCCGGACCTCTCCCAGCGCGGGCCCCGCCGCGACCTGTCTCTGTGGAGAAAAAGGGTTTGCTCCGTGGAGGCAGGCCTGCTTGCCCACGGCCTCTCTCTGCTCCTCTCTTAGGATGGGGACGTTCACAGGCATCTCTACCTCCAGGGCGTCCTCACCAGCCTCGCGGAGGTGGCGGAGAGACCCAAGTAAGTGAGACAGGGCCCGCACGCCACCCAGGTATCGTGGTGGCTGCAGGTGTGCCTCTTAGGTCATATCTCCCGCTGCGTGTCACGTCAGCATGCGGCACCATTGGTATGAACCCTGTCCGCTTGTGTTGTACGGGTGTGATGTTGGGACGGGTGCCGTTCCTCTTGTCTGTGGACTTTAGAGGCTGAGGAGGAGAAATAAAAGGGAGAAGACACAGACATGTTGCAAAGCAGTTTGAAAAGGAAAATGAGGTGATACAGTTTGCAGACCTCAATATCCTGCTGAAAAGGTCAAAAATTGGTATTTTGTGCTGCAGTCAGCTGTCTGTCTAAATGCTGACTTCTTGTGCTTGCTGGATGTGACATCATTTCACTGGGAGTTCCCCATAAGCAGGTAAGGCATCTATAATATGGCTGAAAATTGGGATTGTAGCTAAACAAGAGGATTTAAGTGGCATGTTGTTATGCACTCAGTCAAAACAGTGGGAGAGCTGTGTAGTACAGACAGTCTCAATTAGGAAGGCTAAGCCTGGGGGAGAATCTTCAGCTTGCTTTAAAACCTGCTCTTGTATACAAAATTGAGGAAGTACTGTGAGGATTGTGTGAGGTTCTCCTACAGATGCCTGTTAAACAGCATTGGCACAAAGTTTTAATTCACAGCTGCAACTTTAAGGTCAAACAGCTTATTTTTCACATTGCTGCTTGATGTTTGTTCTTAATTGAAGCACTACTTCAGAGGATGATAATGTATATGATGCTTAAGCCGGCAAATAAGACTTTCCAACTGCCAGTACCTTCATAATCTTCATTCCATTGCACCTTTAATTTCGTTTAAGTATTATTCACAAAAAATGCCACAAGTAAATAAAGTCATCTAGAGGGATATATGCAGCTGAAATTAAGGCTCTAATTTAATTGAAGTCACGGATGTCCTAATTTCCCTGCAGGGTGTCTGAATTCAGTTGCCACATCTCTGGGTGCTGCCAGGTCTTTGATACAGTGGAGGACTACGAGCACCACTACAACACGCTGCACAGGAACGTCTGCTCCTTCTGCAAGCGCTCCTTTCCATCGGGGCATCTCTTGGATATTCATATCTTGGAGTGGCATGACTCACTTTTCCAGATAATGGCCGAGAAGCAAAACATGGTGAGTCTCCCTGCCCAGCCATTCAGTCATGGTTGGTGTGCAGGGCGTGGGCTGGCATCCTTAGAGACTGACCGGGGAGGGCACCCACGTCCCCAGCTGACACCGCTTGCCTTTTCCAATTATGTCTTTTTTTTTTTTTTTTTCCCCTGCCTTTCAGTACAAGTGTCTGGTAGAAGCCTGTGCAGAGAAGTTCAAGAGCAGCAAAGACAGAAAGGATCACTTGGTCACCGTTCACCTTTATCCTGCTGACTTTCGGTTTGATAGACCGAAGAAAGTGAAAAGGTAACTGCAGAACTGCAATAGCACAACCGGTTTTTCCCTGTAGAGGTGATGATGTGCTCCTCTGCTGTTTCACTCCCTTTCCAGAGTAAGCAAGTTTATATCCTAAGAGGCTCAGAAATGGTGTTTTCTGCTGCTTGTAAGAACAGGTAGACTTGCAAGTCTTTCTGTGGCAATGTTTTACTTTATCTTAATGTTGAAGCGCATTTTATTTCTCTTCCCGTGTGGCTCCAGGCCCTGCTCCCTTTTGTGCCATCTCAAGTGTAAACGCAAGGCCCAGCATCTCTCTGTGTTGCTTTGTGCACGTTTCCTGCTTTGCTCTCCAACCCTTTGCAATATTCCCATTCCCCAAAAGCACAAGTAGACCAGAGGGAGGCTTTGTAAGTTTGGCCAACGGCTTTCTCAGCTGGCTGCTCATTTCAAGCACTGCTTTCACCACAGGGATTAATACAAGGACTGATATTGTTTAACACCTTCCTCAGAGAACTGGGTGATGGAATGGAGAGAAGATTTCTTGCCTGGCAGGGTGGTGTGGCCCTGGGAAGGTACAGGGGACTGGGTCTGTGGAGTCTTTCAAAGCTTGCTTGGGTAGCCTGGTGTGAACCCTGTGAACCTTCTAGTCCAACCCTCTGAGCCCATTGAATGAGTTACGCTTTATGGACTGAAGAAAAGAACTTGTGGACAAAGCTGTGTGCTATAATGCAGCAACCCTGAATACTTAAGTAGAAACTCATACAAGCCTATCACGCACCTCTCCAGCAGCCTTTTGGCTGTTCCTGGTGGTTTGCGCAGCCAAATCTCTGTGCCTCCATGCAGTAACTCACCCAAGTTGGACTTGAGCTGTTTCATCATGAAATACCTTTCATTTCCTTTGCCTCTGCGCTTACGTGCCAGCTGCTGAGAAAGCATGTAAAATTTTCTCTCTGCAGTGGCCCCAAGCACGTGAGCTCTCCCACGAAGCAGGGTGCCAGCATGCCGATGGATGTGAGCATGGAGACATTGGAGCAATTCCAAGTGGACCCCATAGAAATAGGGCCCAGTGAGAACATGGAGATCCCTCAGCCTGCAGCCAGCCCTGGCCCCTCGGTGCCAGAGAAACAACTCTATAAATCCAGGTCTGTACTGTTGGCCTCCACAGGCAAAAATTTCTGCGGCTAGGACCATATCATCTTAATTGCATTTTGCAGTGCCTGGTGCAGCACGACTCAGGGTGTTTCTGTGTTGAAGATAAGAGGTAGGATTTCCATGTATGTTTTAAAAGCCATTTTTAAAAGAGGAAAGCGTTAAGGAAGGACAGAGTGTGCGTACGCCGTGAAAGCCGTGTCAATAAGTTTCTGTTAGTCTGCCCGCCCATGGTCTCTTCCCAGGGTATTGCAGAATGGCATGGGTCTGAAGATAAGAACTCTGTCTTAAAATACTTAAGTTTCGTTCCTGCTTTGTAACACTTTCCCATCCTAGCAGACTCGAGGCTGAGCTGGTGTGTTTCACTGTAGCTGTCTCTGCTCCCATGCAGTTGCAGGACAAGGCACAAATAAAGCAGGTGAACATCCTGCTCTGGATCTTATGTTTTGTGAGGCTGGAGCAGCAGATTTTTCTGCCTTTTTTTTTTTTTTTTTAAACTTTACAGAAAGTTGAAACTGAATTGCCTAATGTTGGCTTGACTTTTGAAATCCCCCTCATCATGTGCTTTAAAACCTGTACGAGATGCAAGGTAGCCATCAAAAGGTCACCACCCTCTTCCCAGCCCCCGGATTGGTGTAATTTTATTCATCATTTTAATCATCTCTTAGCATAAAGGTTAATATGGTTTTGCCTGAACTATTCCAGTTAGCAAAGGAATTCTCGTGTTTTGAGTTTGCTGCATATGTGACACGCTGACAGTCTGATGAGCCCACGACCGCGCTGGAGCACCCCACAGGGAAACCTGCTTCTGTCCTCAGCTCCCTCT